GCCACCCTCCTGCCCCGCTTTCCCGCCGCCCCCGAGCGCCGCCTACACCGTCCCCCTCCCGCCGCTGGCTGCCCAAGCCAGTTTTCGGAAGCTGGGAGCAAAAGCCACCACCAACGGGCAAGGGCGGGAAGCCCGAGTGGCCGCGCCACCGAACGCAAAATGGCGGAGGCTTAACAGCAGGAGGAGGGGGGGGCGGAGAATAAAAAAGGATAAACGGATGCCCCCCACTTCGATCTTCAGCTTCGTCCACTGAATTCCACCTGAACCAGGGCTCCGGGCGGCAGCTCGCCATCCTCGAGGGAGGAGATCGCCGGGGAGGCACAGCCCGGCCGCCTCCGAGCTGCGACCTCCACACTTCCCTCCATCCCCCCCAACCCCCTCCCGGTTTCTCTCCTGCTTCTCCCGACTCCGCTCTCAAAACCACCAGCCCAACCTACCCCCTGTTACTTCAGATACCCTGTCGGGAGACAGTAGCGGCGGCTCCGGTGCCCACGGGGCGCAGTCGTGAGAAGGGAGCTGTCCCTGGCCTCGCGTGGCGCTCCCCACAACGGCCCTTCCAACCGTCTCCTACGGCGACAACCGCTGAGGGAGCTGCGTAGCTGAGCGAGTGGCCGGGGGGGATGGGAGGGAGCGAGCGAGGAGGAGGAGGGGGCGGAGCCAGGGCCGCGAGACCGCCCGGCCAACTCTCGCGAGATCAGGGCACCCGTCCCGTTCGAGGCGCGTCGCCTCGGACTGCGCATGCTAACCGGGCGGGGTGGGGCGCGGGGGAGAAAAGGGCCTGGGCTGCTTACAGAGAAAGGCGTGAGCTCCGCCTTTCTTGCTTCACGCAAAGTCAGTAGCTGCTGAGAGAACCTTGTTGCCCCGTTGGAAAGGCTGAGGAGTCCTACCCACCATGGACGAATGCCTCACGCTAGTTTCATATACGTGGAAAGGGTACCTACCAACTGCTTTGGCCACCAAAAACGCAGCGAAGGCTTGTCTTGCCCACCATATTTGTATTATGCAGTAAACGTGGACATCTTTTTGGGGCTGTGAAGTCAAAAGCGTCCACCAGAACCCGGTTTCCACGCTCAGTCCGAGGGGGGATCGGCTCACCCGGACTCTAGAGCTGCCAGCCCCACCCGCCGAATTTGTTTTCTCTCTGCCTCGTTTCACCTTCTCTGCCTACAAATCTTTCCTCACCTCGTGTGTGCTTCCTTTTATCTCTCCCACCTTTCTGCCCTGCTTATGGGGGCAGATTGGGTTTTCTAAACTTAGCTTTGTAAGAGTACTCTTGAACGTTGTCTGTACAAATGGCATGGAGTACATGCTTTCATGGCCGTGATATGCCCCCGAGCCCTGTTGGCATAGTGGTTACTTTGGCTGCTAACCACAAGGTCAGCAGTTTGAAACCATTAGTCACTCCGCAGGAGAAAGATGAGGTTTTCTACTGGTGTTTAGAGTTAGTCTAGGAAACTCACAGGGGCAGTTCTACCCTGTCGGCTTTGACTCAATGGCAGTGAGTTTGGTTTGGGATATCATGCTTCCAGAAGTTCCTGGGTGCACAAATGGTAAAGTGCTTGACACCCAGAGGTGTCTCAGAAGACAGGACTATACATCTGCTTCAAAAGTGGTTCTACTTTGCACCCAGGAAGTGGCCAATAAATTGGAATACTCGGTGGCAACTAAAATGTTTTGCCACCAAGGTTTCTTATGACACCTTATGGTCTTTTTGTATGTTTCAAAAAAGATGCAACGCAAATGTATCTTAAGCGTAGACAGCAATACCAATACAAAGATGGGTGCAAATTAAAGTACAAAGGAACTCGGTGTGCCAGAGAGGAGGTCAACCAGATGACAGTTGAGTGTACCTGTGTGATGAGTTAAGGAAGGATATATGGAAGAAGGTTGTATACAATGTCTACAGTTTCCAGCTACAATGGCTACAGATGTCTACAATGTCCAGCCAAAAGATGCTGGACTCTGTGCTACAAATACTGGGGAGCACATGGGTAGAGGGTAGAGGAGAGAGTTCTGGGGGGTTAGCAGTGGAAAAGTAAGAATAATTTCCCCCCCCCCTGAGATCTTCCTCCTGTAAGATGGAGATAGGGACAAGAGGCTAGAGAAAAAGACAGAAGGATAGTTCCCTTCATGTATTGTAACCTCCGTTTCGTGAAATTAGGTCAACCTCAAACTTGCTTAATACATGTATGGGGCAGCAAAAATTGTCCAGACCATAACACCCTGCTGCCTTCCTTGGGCCCGCACTTTCAAAGTACTCTTTAGAGTTAGAAGAGGCAGAAAAGGGGCAATGTGTTCATTACAAGAGACTGGAAGACAAAACCTGGATATTATGATAAGAGGTCACATTTATTGAAAGCTTGTGTGTGCTAGGCACTGTTTTCAGCATCTCGTTACAACCATGAAAGTTAAAACGTGCTGTTAATCTTCATTTTTCCAGACAAGGAACCCAAGCCCTAGAGAATTAAGAAGAAAAAAGTTGCCCGTGCTCACACAGTGCGGGTGGCTGAACTAGGATTTGACCTAAATGATTTTACTCTGGGATAGGGTAAAAAAACACTGTGTTCTATATTTGATGTTTTGAAATAAAGACAATAAAAAACTTTTTACCTTTTTTGAAAGCAGGTCATTTCACTACTCTGGGTCTTGGTGGCTGGATCTGTAAAATGAGGACATTGATTTGGATGACCACTAAAGACCCCTACTAAGGAGTCTTGGTGGCATAGCGGATAACACCTTGGCCTGCTAACCACAAGGTCAGCAGTTCAATCCCACTAACCATTCCTTGGGAGAAAGATGAAACTTTCTACTCCTGTAAAGATTTTACAGCCTTAGAAAACCACAGTGGTTCTACTCTATCCAAAGGGTTGTTCTGAATCAATTGATGGATGGCAGTAAGTGAGAAAGCCCCAGACTAGGAGCCCTGGTGGTGCTGTCAGGTAAGTGTCGTGCTAGGTAGGTGGTTCAAACTCAACAGCTGCTCCAAAGGAGAGAAAAATATGTAGAGCCTTGAAAACCCTCTATAGGGTCTCTGTGAGTCCAAATGAACTCCACAGTTTTGGTTTGGAAAGACTTCTAATGGGAGCACAGGTGGTAAAATGTCTAAAAGTTTGCCAGTTTGAACCCACCCAACCCCAAGGGCAAAGGTATGTAAACTTTAAGCCTGGAACTGAACTCACCCAGACAGTCCAACTTTTAGCCATCTCCTCTTATAAGGATCACAACCTAGAAAACCCTATCAGGAAGATGAAAGGGACTGCACTCACAACCATTAGAAGCTTGGCCGATATTCCTACATACATATTTGTTTGCTCAGTCATATACAGGGATATATTTACAGCTCAAACAGGGCAAAGGTACGTAAACTTAGTCGTAAACTCACAACTTGAAGGACTGCTCCATTGGGTCTGGAGCAGGGGTCCTCAAACTAGGGCCCATGGGCCACATGCGGCCCTCTGAGGACATTAATCGGGCCCACTGTGTGTTTTTGCCCCGTTTGTTGTTTTTACTTCAAAATAAGATGTGCAGTGTGCACAGGAATTTGTTCATAGTTTTTTTTAAACTATAGTCCGGCCCTCCAACGGGTCTGAGGGACAGTGAACTGGCACCCTGTTTAAAAAGTTTGAGGACCCCTGGTGGAGGCTCAGAATGTTTGTCACTGGAACAGTGAGGTCATTTGGCATAATTCCAGGGACTACACAAAGTTCACAGAAAAATTCCATCATTGAAAATGACACTGTTGGGTCAGGGACCGGTGGGGGGGACATTAGAAAAAGCCTGCCTACCTCTATCTATCTTCAAAAGGCCCCAGGGGATTGACGAACCATCTGTCTGGGCACCAGGCAGAATGATCAAGACACCACTCTATGCAGGAATTTTTATGGATGGAGGCTGCTTACAGCCCCTGCAGCTGTAACTCCCCTGCCTCCTCCTTTGCCCACCTGCGGTTTCTACCCACTTCCTCTATTGTTTACCCTCTTGACCGGCTTAAAATGTACTCTCCAACACAGATAAGGGTGACTTCTCGATCCCGATGGAGGCCCCTGGAGTTCACCCGGGAGTTCAGGGCTCTCATATCTCTCCCTTTCCCTTCTCCCCTCTCTCTCCCCAGCGCGACTTCGCTGACTCCTTGCTGGAGTCCGTGAATCTCGCCCGGGCAGTGCAGAATAAGCTTCTCCTTTTCCTTCTCTCTGGCCTGGCCTCGGTTCATCTTTCCGGCGAACTTAATAGACATTTTCCCACAAACGTCTTGAAGATCACAAAGACAGTGTTCAACATCTTACTTTGGGGAGTGGCAACTGGGGTCTTCAAAAAGCTTGTGAGTGGCCACCTAATTTTCCACCATTGGTTTCGCCTGATCCAGAGAAAAGAAGAGTGAAGAAAATCAAAGACATAGAAATAATGAGTCCAAACACTAAGGAGTCCAGAAAACCTCAGCTTCTACATCGTGAGCCCGGAATACGGGAGCACTGGTGGTAGCCCAGCTGGTTACCACTGCTGATGGCTCTGAAAGGGATCACAATTGAGGGTTCTGGAAAGAGAGGGAGACAAACAGAAAGCAAAATGCAAGATCATGAAAAAGTGGAGGAAAAAAACCACAACAACCAAACAAAACAAATACAGTAAAATACAAAAAAAAAAAAGAAAAAGTGGAGGTTTACTGGTCTGACAGAGACTGGTGGAACCCCAGGATTACGGCCCTTAATCACTCTTCAAGTCTGCGACAGATGGTTTATCCCTAAGCAAGACAACACACAGGCCTATGCTGTTGAATTGGTTCTGACTCATAGAATATATACAACAGAATGAAACATGGCTGGCCCTGTGCCATCCTCACAATTATTCTTATGGTCCAGACAGGCTCACAAGGTGAGCAATTTACACCACGGAGTAAGGTGCCACACTCATTAGCACCACCAAACAGGAGATCACCAGGGAAGCATTTGGACAGGGGAAAAGCTCAGAAGGCAGGAATGGTTTAGGAAAGGAGGCTGACTGGAAAGGGCAAGCCTAGGAAGGAAGGAAGGGGAAGTGTGCTGTTACGTTGTGGGGACTATGCCCATAGATGTCTGAATTGTTGAATGGAAAAACCAATTTCCTCTGTAAACGTTCCTCGGAATCACAATAAAAAAGTTCAAATGAAAAAACACCACGAAAATCAGTGGGGCAGTTCTTCGCTGAGTTGAAAAGTCACGTGATGACAACAACAAAGTCCCCTATAATATTAAAATTATTTAAGAATTTGGGATTATTCTACTTACTCAGCAGGAGTCTGGCAGCACAGTGTTTAAACACTCAAGCCCTAACTGAAAGGTTGGTGATTTGAATCCACTGGCTGTTCCGGGAGAGAAAGATGTGTCCATGTGCTCCCGTGAGCATGTACAGTAGTAGGGCCTGGGAAACTGTTGGGGACAGTTTACTCTGCCCTAAAGGAGCACTATGGACAGGAATCAACTCAAAAGCAATGGGTGGCTTATTGGTCGATCTACTGAAAGTAGTATTGCTGAAATAACATCATCTTTCCAGGAGCACTTTAAGAACTTTATGGCATGGCTGTAAGAAACACAAAAGGAGAAATAAAAACAATAGAGTGACATGGCAAGTTTCAATGTGAGCATCTGTAGTACTAATTCATATCCAGATCAAGGAAAAACTGGAACAAATTAAGCTTCTGCATGTTAGGAAAGTAGGTTGAGATGGAGACACTTTAACACGGAGGTGCTAATTGTGACATTTCAGAGTCTGCGACAGTTTTCTAGGAACAGGAAAATATCCATGTAGGTGTATGGTATACATTAAAAACATCCTTAAGTCTTTTCAACTTACTTTCAAGTCTTATTTGTGTACTAATCCAGTAGTTTGGGAACATTTGGCTGTACTTTTCTTTGACTACTGTTTCATTAACACAGTTTGAACAGTTAAAATGTTCCCTGACAATTTCATTAAACTCTTTCAGACATCTTAAACTGCATTTATCAATTTCATACCATCAAGACACTTTGGGAATAAAGCATTTCTTAACTTAAAAACAAAAGCCTTTCTCAACTTAAAAAAAAAAAGACACTTCGGAAACCTTTTAATCCCTTGCCCTGTTCAACAAGCAAAACCTTTCTTGGGTACTTACAATTCTGGTAAATTTAATAAATAAAAGTTACAGCTACAGTGATTTTTAAGTCCCAAACATTCTAACATTATCTATAAACTTAACTTCTTTTATCCTTTTCAAGTAAAAATGATAAAATCAATTACTCCATGGCATATTAATTAGAATCATAACCCTAATTAGTCAAATTCTCTGATATGGGAAATTTAAAAAAATCATTTTATTGGGGGCTGGTACAACTCTTATCACAATCCATACATACATCCATTGTATCACGCACATTTGTACATTTGTTTGATATGCGAAATTTTCTTCAAACATGACAAACATTTTACCAGATAAAGACAGAGTATGTCTGGATTGAACTCAGAGAGTATTAACACAATCCTTGGACTTCCTTCCTTCTCTCTATGTTTAATTCTTTGTTTTTTCTTGATAGATGGATTTTATTTTCTAACACTGAAAACACCATTTGCAATGAGGAAAGATTCCAATTTTTATTCATACAATTAATTGAAATGGCCAAGGCAGAGTTACCAAGCCACACATCCATCACTGAACAAGAGGGCAACGATTCATTCCAGACGCATCTCGAAGAAAGTTCCCAAGAAACACGCATCGCGCCAGACACCTACCACAGCAGCCTGTGTTGTTCCTGCACGTTCTCAATAACTCTTCCTTGTATTTGCCTTTCTCTTTTCCAATCTGTCGAGATTTGGCCTTGCGTTCAAGAATTTTCTTCCGATCTTTGTCCAACTTAGCCTGGTGAGGACCACTTGCTCAGGTGAATGCCCACGTGGACCGTGGCGCCATTGGCGTTCTCGCGCTGCACCGCTCGATGGACAGGTGCCGTACTTCTTTCTGCACACCTGGACCCCTCGCTGATGGGCTGCCCTTTGTAGCGTCCTCGCTGGCCTTGGAGCGCACCTTCGACTTCCCCCGCAGCCCCTGGGAGAGTGCGGGCCCCAGGATCTTCCTGCGCACGTGCTAGGGAGCCTCGAAGTGGCCTTTGCTGTTCTTGCTGAGGTCCGAGGTCAAGAGCGGATTCTACTTCATGGTGACCATCGGGCGTCAGACAAACTCTCTCTGTTTAATTCAAAACCTTCCCTGGCATTACAAATACAGATGCATCATTTTAAGCAAATTGTAGTTACTTCCCCCGAGAAACACTGGAGACCTATATGCTGTCCAGGGTGGTTGTCATCAAGCCGATTCCAACTCTTAGTGATCCAATAGGACCTAACTGCCCCATAGGGGGTCCTAGGCTGAAATCATGACGGAGGCAGATCACCCACGGGGGTGGTAGTGGTGGTGGTGGTGGTGGTGTGTATGTGTGTGTGTGTGTGTGTGTGTCCCAGAGGAGCTAATGATGGACTCGAACTGCAGACCTTTCCGTTAGCTGCAGAGCACTTATCTATTGCGTTACCAGGGCTCCTTTAGTTACCAGTTTATTGACTGGAAAATTTTGAACAGGCCAGAGACTCAATAATCCTGGTACACTAAGCACACACGTCTTTAAACAAACTGTTGCTGTAATAATAAGACTCAAAGCAATCACACTTCTGATGGGGTCCTTCTTCCCAGTTCCATCACCACTTTATCCTTTATCCTTGAATCATTCAACTCAACGTGGTCGATGGAATTCTGTAATCCCTCTCACTCCTTGACTGAATTCAAACAATTTATTAGCTGCTTGCTTGCATTTGGCATTCTTTGCACGTACTTCTGTTGCATGGTTATAGGGTACTGTCCTAAAATCATTATGCAGTGAATGACGACTAAACGGCATGTTCTCCTTGTGTTTGGGGCCAACGTTTCTATGAGTTGAGCACTCTGCTGTTGGGGCATGTGAATGCTGTTGGGTCACGTGTTGGGTCAGGAGAAAAACAAAAACAAAACAAACTCGCTGCCATCAAGTTGATGATGACGCATAGTGACCCTAATAGGGCAAGCTAGAACTACCTCTGTGAGTCTCTAAGACCTTCAATGCTTACAGGACTAGAAAGGCCCATCTTTCTCCTTCAAATGGCTGGTGGTTCGGAACTGCTGACCTTGTGGGTCACAGCCCAATACATACCCACTATGCCACCAGGCCTCCTAGAATGCTTAGGATGGACTTGAAATTAGTATATGAATTGCTTTTGTATTATAATTACAGCGAGTAGGAACTTTTGAATTTAAAAAAGTGTACTAAATTAGATTTCTCATTTTTGTACTGGGCTAGGAAAACAAAAATAAAAAAACCGAACTCACCTGACATCAACTACTGATATTTCCTAATTGAATCCTATAAAGACAGTTTGGTTAGACACGTCTCCATTGTTCCAGGAATCCCTAGAGTGTTGTTCCCTGAGCAATCTCAGTGGAATTGTTTCCATAGAGATGATTCGAACTGCTGGGGAGGAAGGGCTCTGGCTGTGAGGGCCTTTTCCCTCCTCTTTGTCTTGTCTTGTCATTGCTTTCTGATTAGCATAGGGATGAGCGGGACCCTGGGGAGGATCTTGTTCGAAACCGTGTTGAGAGAAAAGATGAAAAACGAGAAGGAACTAGTAGGGCCCATATCCCCGAGAGGAAACTGAAGCAAGGAACACGTGATCACGTGTTGCACCATCAGGACGCAAAAAGGAAACTCCCTGTAGGATCCAAGGAAGAAAGCTAGTCAGAGAGATTGCATCAGAAGTGGGAAGGCACCTTGACTGCAAACGCACTTAAGATGGTGCAAGGCAGTGGGGTGGGGTGGGGGGTAGTGGGGGACACGTGTTCACATAATCCTAACCCTAAAAACTGGATAATAAAACTGTAAAAACTGGATTATCGTAATCTTTCTGCCTTCATGAAAAGCAAATAAGCTAAAAACAGAAGAAAATGCATCTATAAATTTCTAGGTGTGATTTAGCTAACCATTTTCCAATATTAAACTTTTTTTTAACTAAGGTTTTGTGAAATGCTTATACGTTAATTTATACATGCAGCTACTATCTTTAGATATAATTCAAAATTGCTTTTAGGTCAAGACTTGGTTACGTAATTTACATTCTTGATACTTTTTTGCTACCTAAATTTATTCTCAGATTATGGAAACCAAAAGACCTCATTTTAATAATCATCATTCTCAGTAAACAAACAGAAACTCAAAAGGAAGGCAGACACATGATCTAATTTAAAAATCATTGTTGATGTTAGGTGCCATCAAGTTGGTTCTGCCTTTTCGGGAC